CGGTCAGACAAAGGGACATAAAACTTACAACAGACAATTTCAAAAGACAATCATTAAAAGTATAAAAGGGCAACTATATTCCCAAATAATATGTTTTGTGCCTTTCTATGCTTTCTGTTTGATGTGTTATTGAAACCTATGATATTTTAATCTTTTCCTTATAACTTTTCCTTTTAGTAGATAAGACTATTAATGAGTATGCAAAATACCTGATGTTTGATGTTAAATGGAAGCTCGTGTCATTAGCAATAACTTAGGGGAATGAAATGTTCATTTTCATTATCATACGCACAATTACAACCCTTTTTATAAGTATCAACCAAATCTTCATTTCCCCACATGATAAATTGAAGCATCATGTTAATGTATGCACGCTACGCCTTGCAACAAGTCGATTGGAAGATCGCGTCGTGTGATGGACCAAATCGGGCTTGTTTAAAAACCCAATGCCTGAACAGATGCTCGCTCGCTCTCTCTCTCTCTAGACCTTTGGCTTTTCACCTTGGTGACCGTGCTACAAAGCGCTCCCATGCCGTAACATCACACGAGCGAGACTCCAAAAACTCAAACACTTCAGTTGAAACTTCGTGACTGCCAGAGATCTTCAAAACCCTAGAGTCTTGCAAACTCAGACTCTTTCAGAAGAACTGCCAGAGCCTCTGCGTCACCAGGAAACCCCATTCATCAGGAAGGCATCCCCAGAAACTACATCATCCAGACGCCGCGTCAGCAGCCAATCCGCAGCCCTGGGATTCCCTCAAGCAGCCAACCAGGAAGCTTTTCAGCACAAACGTAAGTAACAAACAGAAGTCTCCTATCTGCTGAAATCGGTGCTGAGATGATCTTAGGTATTAAACGTAAGATAAATCTCTGCTTTGTGATTCTCTCAGGTTGAATTTAAAGAACTCGTGGAAAACGAGTGTTATAACTTTGGAAACTTCATGCAAACTCCGTTAACTCATTTTCCTGAAACTTTTGTGTGTATGTGTGTGTGTTTTAGCTTAGTTTAATGTAATCTAGAATAGCCAATAAATTCTTGTTTCATTTATAAAGAAGTATTGTCTTGTGTCGTGAATTTTAAAGTTAAAGCTTGCCCAGATCTTGGTTACCTAGCTTGTAGCTTATAACTTATCAAAAGCATGTATTAACCTGTGGCCAGGGAGAATACAAATATTCAAATTGTTAAAATACACAGACGTTAACGTCTCGCTGGACGAACAGTTGATAAAGTGTAAACGATCAAATTTGAAATCCGTTCTAATCAGGTTGACTTCAAATCTTCAGATTTGATTCCTCTCAAAACCTGAGCTACAATAATAATAAGTAATTCCCTTATAAAATTTAACTTTATCTTACATCAGAATTTGCTGCTTTAATAGTAAATTTGTGTGGGAAAGTTTCCTTTCCAGGTCCTTTCTGGCTACCTTTTCCAGGTCCTTTCTGGCTACCTTTTCTAGGTGTTTTCGCTGTTCAGCAGCTGTCAGAGCCTTTTGAAGTCTGTTGATTTCCTCCTGTAACTCCATTCTGCTGGGGTCCTTGTGGGATACCGCCGTGATCTGTTGCTTGAGATAATTTACCTCCTGTTTCAGACCCATGAGGTTGTGGGCCAGGAAGATGATGATCTTGGTGAGCTCTTTGTAGCCATAACTCTCGCTTGAGTCATGAGTCAGTAGTACTCTTCCCTCGGTGTCCAGTTGCTTTTGGCTCTGGTGCAGTAGGTTGTCGGCAGCCCTGGGTAGAAGGGTGTTCCTCACAACACCTGGCCAGTCCTCTTGATCTGCCATCTGGGCAGTTAGACTGAGCATCTGCAACATTTTGGCAAACTTGTGTTGAGAGTAAGGGCTAGAGACTAATACAAGATCAAACAGAATGTGGAGCTAGGTTTTACAGCTAGGTTTT